ATGGGGGATGGGGGTATAGTATGGGGGATGGGGGTATAGTATGGGGGATGGGGGTATAGTATGGGGGATGGGGGTATAGTATGGGGGATGGGGGTATAGTATGGGGGATGGGGGTATAGTATGGGGGATGGGGGTATAGTATGGGGGATGGGGGTATAGTATGGGGGATGGGGGTATAGTATGGGGGATGGGGGTATAGTATGGGGGATGGGGTGTAGAATGGGGTTTGGCATTAGTTGGACTTATTTTTAATAGTAACTCTCAAGCAACCAGAAACGACATTTATCCGGAATCTCCCAATCCCCGGGGATGCCGGATAACGGGGAGTTTGCTGTAGTATTCGTCTTCGCACATTTCTCTGAAGGCGATTTGTTCTTCCACACGGAGTTGAGTGAATGGAAGCTGAGCTCTGTCTGGCATGTCGCGTTGTTCCCGGCTGATGGTCTCCGCGGTGTCGGACATATTATGGGATGGGGGGTTTTGTCACATGTCATTGATTTCCACACTGAGGAGAAGTTTGAATTCCGATATCAGTTCTGTCGGCGGCCATTATGTTATAGAACTGTAGCCGGGAATCCGCTCGTTACCATTGATCCGCTCCGCGCCCCACGCCGCGTTTTATCCCTCTCAGCGCTGCGCGGCGGATTTGTAATTAGTTTATTACTCTGGAAATAAATCTTTGTCTTCCTCGGTGTAATCTGCGTGTCGTGTAATGAGCTCACGTATGACATCACACGGCTGTCATTACATCATCACATCCGGGAGGCGTCACCAATAGAAGATGTTTCAGCGTCAGTGTTCTCCGCTGTCTATGTCGGCGATATAATGGCGGCTTCTTCCCCCCAGGAGCAACACATTGTGCTGATGAGCTGTGTGCACTCAGGCCCCAGAGCAAGGACACCCTGACACTTGGGGGGCCCCAGAGCAAGGACACCCTGACACTTGGGGGGCCCCAGAGCAAGGACACCCTGACACTTGGGGGGCCCCAGAGCAAGGACACCCTGTCACTTGGGGGGCCCCAGAGCAAGGACACCCTGACACTTGGGGGGCGCCAGAGCAAGGACACCCTGACACTTGGGGGGCCCCAGAGCAAGGACACCCTGACACTTGGGGGGCCCCAGAGCAAGGACACCCTGACACTTGGGGGGCCCCAGAGCAAGGACACCCTGACACTTGGGGGGCCCCAGAGCAAGGACACCCTGACACTTGGGGGGCCCCAGAGCAAGGACACCCTGACACTTGGGGGGCCCCAGAGCAAGGACACCCTGACACTTGGGGGGCCCCAGAGCAAGGACACCCTGACACTTGGGGGGCCCCAGAGCAAGGACACCCTGACACTTGGGGGGCCCCAGAGCAAGGACACCCTGACACTTGGGGGGCCCCAGAGCAAGGACACCCTGACACTTGGGGGGCCCCAGAGCAAGGACACCCTGACACTTGGGGGGCCCCAGAGCAAGGACACCCTGACACTTGGGGGGCCCCAGAGCAAGGACACCCTGACACTTGGGGGGCCCCAGAGCAAGGACACCCTGACACTTGGGGGGCCCCAGAGCAAGGACACCCTGACACTTGGGGGGCCCCAGAGCAAGGACACCCTGACACTTGGGGGGCCCCAGAGCAAGGACACCCTGACACTTGGGGGGCCCCAGAGCAAGGACACCCTGACACTTGGGGGGCCCCAGAGCAAGGACACCCTGACACTTGGGGGGCCCCAGAGCAAGGACACCCTGACACTTGGGGGGCCCCAGAGCAAGGACACCCTGACACTTGGGGGGCCCCAGAGCAAGGACACCCTGACACTTGGGGGGCCCCAGAGCAAGGACACCCTGACACTTGGGGGGCCCCAGAGCAAGGACACCCTGACACTTGGGGGACCCCAGAGCAAGGACACCCTGACACTTGGGGGACCCCAGAGCAAGGACACCCTGACATTTGGGGTACCCCAGAGCAAGGACACCCTGACATTTGGGGGGCCCCAGAGCAAGGACACCCTGACACTTGGGGGACCCCAGAGCAAGGACCCCCTGACACTTGGAGGGGTGGGGGGATTCAAGAGTGGTAACCCCATGTTCCATAGAGGGGGTTACAGGGTAAAATCTTCTGACTAGCGGAATGTGGATCTTCTATTCTTTGTTTTGTACAGAACTCTCAGATAACCTCTGACCTTTGTTCTTCTGGTCTCCTAGGTGACCCGCGGTGATGTCATACTATGTGACAGGACGGGTGATAATAGTACAGGGCGGGATGGCGGGATTCTGTGTTACTTTTGTCCTGATAAACGTCAGAAGAAAGTCCTTCCGTTCCTCCGGCAGATTACTGCATTCCAGCCGCCGAGCCGCCATCAGCCCCCCCAGATGTGTCCGCGGATCCTGGCGGCAGCTTCTCATTAGTCAGCATTCGCAGTGATGTCACCGGAGTGACCCCGTATAGTGCTGGTCTGCTCTGTGTAATCCCTTAGTGATCA